TTTCCAGGGATCACCCAGCTGCTCTTCACAGCTGCTGCATGATTGCAGGGGAAGAAAAACACATTTGGTGGAAGGAGTGACACAGCTTCATGCCCTTGGTGCATTCTGAAGCACTTTTTTGCCTTTGTATCTGAAGTGCTACATAGCCCTATTAATCAGCATTTTAATATGCTCTCTAATGGATTGTGTCAATAGCACCACCAACTTCATTACTTTACATGGTGCTTAAAAAAAAAAGAGGTGGAAGTAAAAACTAGGCAAAAGCTAAATGTAGTTTGAAGTTCTGTACATGCATTCCTAGATAACTTCCCATTCAAATCCAGACCTCCTTAGCTTCAGCAAGGTTGCTACATCACATGCCTTTAGACATGCAAACAAGGAAGCGAAGCTAGCAGAGAAGCATCTTCAGGCAGCTGTTCTCCATTTGTATATTTGCTAAGGAAAAGGACTGGCCAGTAAGGGCAGCCAAAATTACTGATCACCTGTTTCTAGCTTTGAAAAGGCTGTGAACAATTGCTTTGTTTCAAAGCCTTGCTCTATTTGTCTGAGAAATAATGGAGGGACATTAAGAACTATGGGGAGTGTTTGGTGACCACCAGATTTTATTCTGCTCTGATTCAGTGCTTTAAAAAAGCCCAGTTTGACTTAAGCTGAATTAGAAATTTCCCTCTTCAACTTGGGGACCAAGGCAGAAATATGATTTGTGTCACCCATTGACTAGCATTGGATAACTTCTGAAGTCCATCCCTTTTTTTTTTTTTTTTTTACTGTTTAACAGAATAGATTGACATTTGCAAGCCCAGATTATTCTTCTTAAGGAACAAATTCTGCCCAGTTTTGAGAAAAGAAATGCACAAATACTGGAGCTAGGTTTCTTTAAATTCTGACTTTTTTTAATGGAAGCACTTATAATTTTATTTTTTTGGGAAGAAATTAAACATATTGGTTAGCATAATTGTTTTTGTTGTGGTAAATGCCATCAAGCTTCAGATAAATAGATGGAGAGGGGTTTTTGTGCAAAGGGAATGTTTATAACTTTGGTGTAGTTAAAAAAAAATCAATCATTATTTCCTAACCTTATTTATTGGGAATGTCTTTGAAAACTGTAGACATATATGAAATCCCTTTCACAGGAAATAGTGCAGAGATGCATTTCTCCCTTCAAGAGACACCGCATTTACACTAAAAAAAGTTGTCCTGATATGTTTTGAAATAGGACAGGATTAATCTGGGAATTCTGGAGTGGAGTCTAAAGCAGGGGTTCTGAAATGGAGGCCATATCCTGGGATATTTCAAGAGGGCCACAAGTGAAAAATATGTAACATGAGGGCAACAGCACCTGCTGAGGGGGCCACAAAAAAGCAAAGTGTATTATACTGTCTTGTTGATGCCAGGAAACGAACCAGTTTCTGTACAATGTCCATATCCAGTAATGAGACCTGGACAGGGGGCCACAGGAGAAAAGCAAGGTTGGAAGGGGGCCACAAGTGAAAAAAAGGTTGAGAAACACTGGCTTAAGTGTGGGCCTTGTCCTGTTTAGGAGGTGAATGCCATATATACAGATAATAGGTGAAGAACTACTATAAAACTGAGAATGTTTATTTAGATCAGCAAACTTTGGCAAAGGAATACTAAAAGGATCAAACAGTTTGAATTTTATTGCCAGCTTACATTTGTATTGGTCAGTAGAGTAGAATAATGGTTTAGTTCAACTTTGGGCAGTGAGCAATTAAATATTAAATGCTTAACTGCCTTTTTAGGCTTTTAATGTTGTAGCTAGGCCTATAACTCAAACAGGCATGATACAACCAAAATGTAAAGTAGAGAGTAATTCTCACTTTTTTATTGAAGTAACAATCTTGCCAGGTTATATTCTATTCCTATTACTGTTCCAGTAAAGCATTAATATACACATACATCTTCTGCAAATCAACTTCAAGATGGGTAAATCCGTTCAGCCCTTGGGCACTATAATAGCTTTTTTTTAATGCTGAGGCGGGCCATTTTCTCTTGTTATTTTCAAGGATATGCCTTCTGACTTAATTTTGGGCTCTTCCCTTTTCATGTGTAGTCATGCTCTTAGCAGACATAGCTTCCTGTTGCTTTTAAAGGATAAGTGGTAGCTTATGTTTCAGATCTGACAAATGTGGCCAGAAGAGATCTCCCAAATTGTATATCAAGCCTTCCTAGAACTTAATATCTTACAGCCCTGATATTTCCATTACTATGAAGCTGGGAAAAGAATAAGGGCATGCAAAATATTTCATTTTGAACCATTTTAAATGTGAAATTTTGCAGAACTGCTTTTCAAGTTTAAAACTACTGTTTTTGAGTATGAAATTATCTGTTTCAAACATTTGGAAGTGATCCACACTCAATACAGCAGTTTTAGACCAAAAATGAGGCGTTTCATGAAATTATGTACCAGAAACAGTTCAAAATGAAATGTTTTGCATACACCTAGAAACAAGACTTTACCTCTGTAATCAGTCTGGGACTTTAAGGTACTTGAGAAACCTCCACAGTATCATTACATTGTGGGTAAGGCTTCTCCCCACTCTTCTGGGGACAGGCAGATTAGCAGTAAGAACATAAGAGGTGCCCTACTGGATCAGATCCTTGACCTATCTAGTCCAGCGGTCTGTTCCTTCAGTGGCCAACCAGCTGCACAAGGAAGCCTAGTCTCCCTGCAGATGGCCTTCAAGGCAGTCACACTGTTCTCGGGGCTAATAGATATTGATCCCTATCACTTTTGGGAACGAATCTTATCTAGCTACATCTATGAATTCATTCATTAGATAAGGTGTAGGGTACATTTTTGTCAAGAGCTGTCAAGTTCAAATGTATTTAATTACAGGCAATGAAATGCAAGTTTTAAAAAAATACAAAAGCAATGACCAAATACCACAGAACAGTATAACACTAATATAAAATCTAAAAAAATAAACTGGAGAAAGGAAAAAATTAAGATGCAATAAAATGTTCTTAATAAATAATAATTAGCATTAAGATAAAATAGAAATGGAATAAAATAAATAATTTTAATTTTTAATAATAATTTTTCATAATAAAATGAACGAGTAAAGAAAGACTTTGTAATGTCATAACTCCAAGATTAGGACATTTTATGCCTTCTTATAGAAATCACTGCAGATAGATACTTAGCAACTCTCTTGGTGATTATCGACTTCTAATCTGCAAGAAGGAAACTAACCACCTCTCCCACAAAACAGATTCATTTTTTGTTAGCAGGAGGTAAATGTATGTTTCCATGTAAATTGGTATAGAAGGAGCTGCAGAAAAATATGTGTGATAGGGACTCAGATTCATTCTGACCACAAGGACAGCATCTCTCAGTAAATCAAGTCCTACTGTACCTCCCATCTAGTACTGCTGAGAGTAAGGCATTGAAGTGAGCCACAGAAAAGGCACTACAGTATGCTGAGCAAACAAGGTTGAATATGTGGTTTGCGGGTATAGAATGTTTTCAGATTGGAACCCGCTACTGAAAGTTGGCTATAGCACCCAGATCCACCTGCCATGAGATTCTTCAGTGGATTCTGTCTTTAGCATTGTCTAAGCCTAAGGACAGGAGAGAGTAGATAGAAATGCCTCAGTGACACACGTCAGCTGAGATTTTTCCTTTCCACATTGATGAGAGACCATCAAGGAGAATTAATAGAACTAGTGAGCCATTGGAAAACAGGAGTTACGCCGGAGAGAGAGTTGGCAAATGTGGATGCTTGCCTCCAGTGGAATGATACCAGTTTCCATGCAGCTTAAAGCTTTTGAAACACAGCATGGGATGAGGAAGAGCGCCTACAAAAAAACTAGATTGAACAGTGTCTGAGGGTTTTGAATCATTATAGGTTCATACCTGTATATCATACAGCATTTGGAATAGTTTAAATAGCTTGATGGGAGCAGCTATGCATTTGCTGTCTTTGGAATGAAAAAAGAATTGTCTTGGTGCTGTTGTTAGCTCTGTCAGAAATGGTTCTAATTTGTTCCTCCCAAGCTCCAGAGCTTGAAAAATTATGCCAAGGTATTTAAAAGCTGCAATTTATTCAAGAGAAGTGTTCCTGGGGATAATTTGTGGAGCCATAATTTAGCAAGTAAGGCAGTACCTTTTCTCACTCATTCTGCTATCCCTACATTATTCTTTTTCCTCTTTCTCTCTGTCCAGTGAACTATTAAAGGACAGGTGAATTCTGAATCAGTCACTTTACAGAGAGATTTTGAAAGGGCTGCTTGTATTTAGGTTAAGGGCCATAGATAATTCATACTAGATAAACTAGAATAAAATTGGAGGGGTTATAGCTCAGTAGTAGAGTACTTGCTTTGCATGCAAAAGGTTCATCTTCTTTCTCTGGCATTTCAGGTAGGCAAAGAGTAGAATCTTCCTTGACACCTTGCATACCATTTCTAGATATTGCATACCATTTCTGGATATTGCAAATAACAGTAAGTGAGATGAAACAATAGTATTCTTGCTAAATCACTGCCAGTTTTATGTACTTGGGAATCCTGGATTTCTTTATTGTGAAGATCCTAAGTTCTGGGAAATAGTAAACCACCCAGGTGTTGTTAGGGGAGAGAGCAGTAAGTGCACACTTGGATGTCTTCAAGAATTTACTGTAGCAGTTTGTGTCGCTTCTGAAACCCTTAAAATCATTTAGGAAAGAAAGTCCAAGGAATTGGGATTTTCATTTTAATTATTTTTCATCTCTAATGCTGCTTCTCAAGTCTAAAAATCCTCTCATGGCTTGTCACATAATTTTGTACTGCTTCACATAACATCGCTACAAATACTATTTAGTGGATTCATAGAATGAAATGCTAATATTTAATTTTTTAGTGATCTCTTAGACTTAGGCCCAAGTATTAATGGTATCTGGAACCATTATATATTCCCCAAATTTCCTGAATTTTGAATCTTAACTTTTATAATTTTTCATTATGGCTATTATGGTTATCCCAAATTTTTAGATGCTGGTAGAGAGGAACCTTGTAAAAAAGTAAATTTATCATAATCAGACTTCCTCAATCTGGGTACCCTTCAGATGTATAGACCAACTTCCAAAATTCCCCAGATACCATGGTCATTGCTGAGGATGCTGGGAGTTGAAGCTCACGCATCTGGAGGTATGTAAATCCAGGATTTAAAAGTTTGTATCTTGGAAAACTTTCTAGAAATTCCTCAAATCTATCCATCAGCTTACAAGTCTGTAGTCTTATTGATTATAGTGTGATTTCTCATTAAGTATTTGTAAAATCCAGCTCCATGAGTAGCTGTTCTTTTCCTTTTAATAGATAGATTCTTGAATAACAGAAATCTAAGGTTGCTTACAGAACCATTGACCTTTTTGTTTCTTGTCTGGAATTAAAATTAGTTTTAGTTTGCTTACTCTGTTAATGAATCTTAAAACAAATGCAAAAAAAAGTTTAGTTCAACTGACATTAATACTAAAGATGAAAACATCTAAACTTTTTTCCCAAATTAACAGTAATTAAGATTTAAACTAACCATAATTTAAAATCTTCAAATACAACACTAAAAGAGCAACACAAGCTAACATAAATTGTTCTAATGTTATTAAAATGGTAGTAATGAGCGAAACAATTTCCAATCAAAATGTGATTTGAAATAAAATCACAGCAAGACTCCTATTTGATTTTATTGACATTTATTAGATTTATCTACCACTTCCCTTTGATATTGGTAATGGCATAGGAGGGGAAGAATAATTTTCCTCTCCCTTTCACATTGTATGAACAAATGAGGTCTTTTGAACTTGACCTTTTATTATTCTGGAAAGCAACCAAATTTAGTCATGTGTGTTTTCTCCTATATTAATATAATGGACCCCAAATATCATGTCTTAAAATAATGGATGGTGTGCTGTTGTTTTTTTTTCCAGGTTAATGCCTGCTTTACTTCAATAGCAGTGTCAGTGGAAGTATCTTCTGAAAATGCTCAGAAGACACGAAAGAGACCCTCAAAATGGCTGTGCTAAGTCTCTGAAAAGTTATGGTGCCTCAGTACTTTTGTCACTTCATAACCCCGCCCCCAATGTTTTGCCCGGCTCTTTGCAACATCTGGAGGGCCATAGGTTCTACATCCTCGTTTTATATATTATTGATCTCCTTTTTTGATGCTTCTGCATCACTCAGGGACCATTTAGTAATGAGTAATGCTCATGCAGAGATTGCTTACAGTCAATACAATTATCATAAAATTATATCAATTTTTAAAAAAGCAATAAGATGTAATGCAATGTAAATTAAAATAATAAATAGTAAGAAGAAGCTACTATTTTTACTGAGGACAAGAATGACAATTAAATGGAATCTGAGGCCTGCTTAGAAAAGCCTAATTTTTTAGCCCAAATTGCTGCAGTAACATTTCAGTCTCCTTGAGAGATATTAGGCCAGTTCAAAATGTTTAAGTTTTTTAAAAATTAAAATGTAGTATGAAAGATAGCATGCAAGTTAAAGATCTGTTTTAGTTAATTCTAATATCAGGCCTTAGTTGTCAGTTTTAATGCAGAATCAATTCTACTTTGAACAATGTGTGATTTGTTAGGGATATAAGTGCAGAGAAATGAAACTTTCTGGAGTGGAAGGTGGAAGATTTAGAATTGGAAATTGAATAGAGTCAAAAGTGGGATAGAAAGTTTATAAATGAGGAGAATGTGAAATTAGAGAGGTGGTTGTGGGAAGTTTTCAATGGGTAATGCTGATATTGATTTTAATGACAGACCTGCCAGAAAGCTACTGCAAATGAATCTTACCCTTGGACAGCAATATGTGCAGTGGTGGGGGGTGAGCTGTGTGGATGGTGCCACCACCATGGATGGTCACTAGAGGAGAAAAGAAGCATCTTGGCTACTGTTGACATCAGTGTTGCAATATGGAAAGCAGCAGCTGAGCCAGGATTCTGGAATATAGGAGTTTGCTTCTGGTCCTTTGGTGACTGCCACAGTTAGTGAGAAAAACAACAGCAGAGTCAAAAGTGATTTGTGTAGATCCCAAGCAACAGTGGCAAGGCTTTCTGGTCAAATTCAAATTGTTAGTCGTTACCTTTAAAGCCCTATACCACACAGCACTGGGATATGTTAAGCAGTGCCTTGCCAGGATTGAATCTGCACTTCTGTCATCGAGAGAGGACATGTTGAAAGTCCCCATCCCACCTCTTCATTGGGTTCACAGATATGGGCTACACAAGAGAACTTCTTTCAGACAGTCTCTGCTTTATGGAACTTCCTGTTCCTGGAGATACGCGCAGTCTCTACCTTGCTAACTATTCCATAAGCAAGTCAAGTCTGCATTGTTTCAGCAAATCTTTGGCCCCTCGTGATCCTAATTGAATGTGTTCATCTTCTAGATTTGATTTTTCAGTTTTATGATCATGTATTTTTATTTTATGTATTTTTGTACAACACTGGGATTGGGATGGATTATAAACACTGTAGTTAGAGAGATGGGGACATATGCTAAATACTAGCTGTAGTTCCCAAGGACTCTTCCAGCTTAATCTCATCAATTGTAACTTACTGTTGTTGATGCTAGAGTTACCAAGGAACAAAATAATGTTTATTAAGTTCTTGTTTTTCTAGAAAGGGGAGCAGCTGGTATTTCAGGTATAATTGGAGACAAATACTACTTATAGGAGTAGATTTAGTATGTTGCCTTTATGGCTGACATGCTTAATTTTGTTTATGTCTGTGAATGAAAAGTGCTTTAGGAAAAAATAGGCAAGTTCAATTAAAGCCCCCAACCTATGTATATAAATTCTTCCTTGAGTCAAGCTCATCTCCTGGGGATCATATGGACCTATCCATGTACTTTTCTTAGCAGTAATATTACTTGCTATGTTTTAACTAAAGGAGGAATCCAGCAGGCTTATGAAAAAAAAAATCTCCCTGTTGTGATTTTTTTCCCATTAGACTTATGAAGTAAACAGGTTAAATACTTGTTAGATAAGCATTCCAAGACAACGTTGGTGGACAAGTTTTAAGGATCATATCCAGTATTGTCTATAACAGCATTTCCCATTCTGGTGCCTTTCAGGTCTGGTGCCACAACTTCCCAATTCTAGCCAGCACAGCCCTTGTTGTGTAACACATCTGGAAAACAGATTGTGGAACTTGGTGAAGTGTTGCTCCATTCTGTGTAGCAGTGTAATGAGCGAAATAACCTATTGAAAGAAGTTGGTGTAGTTTATTGACATTTCCACAAACTTTTAAATAGACTTTTTTTCTTTTTCCAACTCTTGATTGCCACAAGTTTAATCTGTGAATGGGTAGCATCCTCTGAATTTGGTTCTCTTCTCTCCTCACTGCAAGTGGCTTTTTAACTTTTTGTTATAATAAAAAAATGGCCATGCTATATTTTATTTACAGTTTTAACTCAAGAGATTTTGTTTTGGTTTATAACACCCTGCAGTGACATAATAGTTTCCCTGCAGCACAGCGTGGTTAATTTGCCATGTAAAATGAGTTGTAGCTGAAGTCACTGTTGTCCAAATTCTTCTTTAATGCTTTTCTAAAGTCTTGTAACTTAAGTCAAATGGATATCTTCCATAGAAAATAATCTTGGATGCAAATTGTTAACAAACTAATTATAAATATAATTACTTTTGCTAATTATTTATTAAAATGTGTTTTGATGTTTAAACTAATAGCTTCTTTTAGCAGCAGCACTGTTTTACACATGGAAGTGAGTCCTTTCGATTTAGTGGGACTTAACTTGGATACACAGCATTATATTGTTAATTATTAAAATGTTTAGCACATTTATCAAAAGCTTTGGTCCAGATATTCAATATTATTTTGCCAACAGCCATTCTGATCTCAAAAGTTCATTCTGATTTATTTCCAGGAGTAAAAGTTCCTCGTAATTTTCGACTGCTGGAAGAGCTAGAAGAAGGCCAGAAAGGAGTAGGAGATGGAACAGTTAGCTGGGGTCTTGAAGATGATGAAGATATGACACTTACAAGATGGACAGGCATGATTATTGGGCCCCCAAGGGTAAACATCACTTTAAAGATAGAAAACTATTGCTTTGTTTAAAAACTGATTTCTGCTATTATAATAAGTGCCTTATTTATTTATTTATTTATTTAGTTAGTTAGTTAGTTAGTTAGTTAGTTAGTTAGTGATTGATTTTGTAATATACAGTAGTTCATAGTGTGAGATTGTGGTATAATGATAAATCCCATGTTTAACTTCTCTCCTTTGCCTTCTTAAACAATATGGAAATCCCATTTCAGTTTCTATGTTTTTAGAGT